ATGAGATGGACTTTATGAGTTTTCTGAGTTGTCCTTCGATTTTCACACAGACTGTGTTACAGTCTACAGCTGCCTAAAACAGAACAAGGTGTGATTAGTGGCATCTTGGATAACAACTGAAAACCCAAAGGCACTTCAAGACTGGATTTGCAGAAGTAGCACTTCGTCTTCATTCTTATCAACTCAATTATTTTTTGGAAGAAGTACCTTTGAAATAAAAGTTAAATAATAAACAAATATATATATACATAATATATATAATCACATAGCAAAATATTGATTTTATAATGAAGTATTCAATCCATCCCTTGGATAATGCTGATTAACATTAATAAATATATATATATGACATCAAGAATGGAAATAAGACCAATGAAAACTTAGAGATAAAACTTAAACAGAACCAAAACCATGACAATACCCTCCCCACTTAAGGTTGGATTCCAGACACCCTAAAAAGTCTAAACACAAAAACAACCCACCCAGGGCGGGCGGAGCAACAACCAGGAAGGAGGGAAGAAACAAAAACAGAGTCTAAACACAAAACAACCCACCAAAGGTCGACAAGGAGAAGCAAAGTCTCACGATTCTGGCTGTGAGGCCGGAGACGAGGCAGAGTTTCTGGAGGCGGCCGATGAAGGAGGACCTTTGGAGGCTGGCGTCTCTGCATAAGGACCCTCAGGGGGCCACCGACCAAGGCACGCAGCTTGGGACACACGAGAGGAGCTCTGAAATCTCATGATGTGATTCACAAGAAAGTAAATCTGTTCCGAAAAAGCGATCTTGAACGTTCCCCTTTTAGCATTCAGTTGTTTCATCTCCTCTTGTAAAAAAGCCAATTGCTCCTCCTGTTTCTCCATCTGTTTCTCCTGAGTGCCCAAAACCGAGACAAAGTCTGCTGGGTCCATTGTTGGCTGGTTTGTACTCTCAGGTGGAGGTGGAGGTTAAACAGGACCCAAATGCAGACACAAAAAGCTGAAGTGGTTTCTTGAATATTTAATTAACCAAAAAGTTCAACAAAAGCAAAAATCCAAAACATAAATCCACAAAATCCACAAAAACTGAGTACCAGCAATACTTACAATAAAGGGGCAAAGAAAAGACGACAAACCAGCAAAGAGTGACTGAACAGAAGCAGAATAAATGGGACAGAGAAACATGGGCAAGAAGGGAGCTAGGGGAAATAAGACTGAGACAAGAAATATCTAAGAACTAAAATACAATCAAAAATAACTACAACACAAAAATGGAAAAAAGACCAATGAAAACTGAGATAAAATTTGAACAGAACCAAAACATTGACAAACATGTTTTAAGTGATGAGACCGTCTAGTTCTAATCTGGTTACAAAGACGAAGTAAACAAAACAATCTGCTAACAAGAAGATAGACAGATAAGGCAGAACATGAAGGTTGGAACATGACTGTGCTAAACTGTCTGATGCTTTTATAATCTGTGGGAAACATGGACCAAAAGGTTGTCTTCACAGCAAAGAGATCCACGGTGAAGACTGGACCAGAACCAGCAGAACTAGTCGGTGTCGAGAGCAAAGAGATGGTTCTGGACCTCCTACTTAGTGATACAATATACTCATATAAAGAACACAAGAATGAAGATGATACAGGTAACTCGATAACTCTGTTTATATATTAACACCGTCTCCCAGAAAAAATGAACCTTACAGGGTTCTAGTTGTTTTATGAAAGGTGCTGAATGTTTTATCATATAATGACTTGTTTAACTCTTTTAAAGCGAGAACACGTCTACAAGCTGTTATGCATTCTTATTCTTGCAAGTATTAATATAATAAAGGTGACTGAGGAAATACTCATTGGTCTATTCTTTATAAATGTAACTTCCCACATTTAGATTAAAGAAAGTGAATAAATCGGGGGTAAAGTTAGCAACTGTTTAAAAACATTGACATACATTTTAGTTATGATCACAAATTTTTATTGATAATAATCTGAACTTAACCCATATGAAACATTCCATTGTGACATACGCAAACAACAAACATCACAGTATATTTAAAGATTTTTTTTAGCCCGATTAAGCTTGACTTTGAGTTTGAATAAACAAAAATACATTAAACGTAACAGAGTCAACCTTAATTTAGTCTTTGCTAAAACATTATCTCTGGCTATAAATTAACATCTTATATTAAATCCTCTCAAATTATATCTAATGAAAAAAACAACAAAGTAAAAGCATTAATTTTTCTTTAAGTGGAACAGGTCAACCTCTGCTTTCAACAGGCTACATAATACACACATTTGAGAAAACCAAGAGAATCAGAGAGTTACAAGCACCTTGGCGTTGCATAAAAAACAGTTCCTCTACCAAGCCTTATAAATCGATAAATTACATTAAAAACTAGTTTTGAATTGATCTACACATCCTTTCACAAAAACCCCTTCATAAAAGACATATTAATGAAATAAGACATTAAAAAATGTCTGAAAAAACTTAAATTACCCCATGAAAATAGATTTTACAGATGGAAGTTCTTAACATTTTAACTGAAAACAATTTTCAGACTACCGTGATTCTGTATTTTTTATAACTCTTGATGTTGAAGGTTACTAAACCTCCTTAACCTTGAGTTATGG